AATTCAGCCGTCACCCGTCCACACACTGGACTTCCACACACTGGACGTCCACACACTGGACATTCCACATACTGGACGTGGCAGGTGCATCAGTGGGGACAAGTTTCTTAAATCCCATCGACTCTGTCCACCCAGCAGTAGCAATGTGTGGTGGATTCGAATTAGGTGCACACACAACTTCTTGGGAGGCAACACTTATTTATTAATGCACACAACAGTTAACTCTTACATTACGCATAGGGTGGTGACCACCGCCTTCCTCTAGCTAACACACACGTCTCAGATACTCTAGGGAGGTACAGCCTCCTGTCTTGGCGGGACTTACACGTCTACCACTATACTAGAGTCCCCCGGCTGGGACCTACGCACAGATCTCTTATTGGCGTCTTCACGATGCATCTTCCTTCTTGAAACGGGCAGCCTCGACCTCGCGAGGAGGCTGCTTATATGGGCCTCGGCGTGCCCGGGCCCCGTCCCGGCCACGCCTCCCTCCGAGAACCCTCTCGAAGCCCCCCTGCTGTCCACGTGCCCCCCGAGGTGCCCCCTAGGCCCTCGGCCCCCACTGGGGTCCAGTCACATGTCCAGCCGGGGTCACAGAGAGTGCCACAACCTCACACCACCCTCGTGGCCTCCCGAGTCCAGAACCGGCCCTGACGTCATTCTCGCCTCCAGCCGGGATGACGTCATGTGTGTGTGTAGACCCGCGTGGTCGTTACGCTCCCCCACATAGTGACGTCACACGTGTGCGTGTGTGCACAGTAGTGATGCTACGATCCATCCTGGGTTTAACCAGACTGGATTGTGTGAGGAGCTCACAAATCCTTGAAAGATCTGGGCAAGGTCCCATCGGTGAGCTCCTCCGGCAGGCAAGGCTGCGATGGCTGGGTCATGTATCCCGCATGCCCAGCCACCGCATGCCGAAACAGCTTTTGTTCGGCCGGATTGAGGGGGCTAAGCGGGCGCGGCACGGGCTAGAGAAGAGATGGAGTGATGTGGTACAAGAGGACGTGGAGCTGAGTGGACTTGCCGATGACCGGTACCAGCGGTGTCAAGATCGGCCTCTGGGGAGGAGGCCGATCTTGAAGGACGCTACTGGGCAGTTGGAGGCAGTCGCCCTCCAACAACAACAGAGGGCGGAGGAGCGACACTCACAACAACGAGCGGAGCGCCGGGTGGATAAAGCACAGCAGGTTGGCACAGTAGGGGGCACAGGTGGTGCATCAGCCAGTCATCTCAGTCATCTCAGTCAGTCGACCCGTGGAACCTGCTGGGTCTGCCCCGTGACCTCCTGCCCGCGGGCGTTCGACACTTCACGTGGCCTCAAAGTGCACATGGCCTGGCACAAGCGTCGTGGTGACGTCACCACCACTTAGTGGCGAATGGCGGTTGGTTGTTGTTGATGCTACCATCATTACAAATGGATACGACAAAGTTAGTCGATCGGCAGGTCGCGTGCGGTGCGGTAAAGTGTGGGTAACTCCCACCTCTTCCAAGACGTCTGGCCAACGTGGAAGAGTAGACCAAAAACTCATGCCCTACCACCAGGAGTGGCGTGAGCGAGACATTGCAATTGGGCTGCATCTTTACGTTTACCTTGTAACTGATGCGCCTGTTCACTGAGCCAGCCTTCTGAACGAGATGCAGCCAAAGGAGCGTCCCTTTGCACCAAACGTTAACAAAGCACACCACTCTACGCGAACCCTTTCGCAAACAAGCGTCCTGTCTGCTCAAGTCCCCCGCATCAGTGAAAACGTGACCCGTGGCAGCTCGGGGATGTAATTTTTCTTCTTTAATCAACGGCGTGAATTTATTTTTTGAACGAGACTCCCAACCTCTCACCACTCTCGTCTCAAGTGCTTGCCATTTTTTTTGTGATTGGACCTTTTGCGCGAAAAATGGCGCTTTTGTCAGCAGAATTGCTCGGACAAAGAGCGGCGGTAAGTCCCACCCAGCCAAAGTGTGCGCACACAGACACACGCCACGAGTTAATATGGCCTCAGTACATGACAGGACATCCCCGCTCGCTTATGTCGTCGGTCGGTTTGGTATTGCCATTTCTTTTTTGAGGCCTTCAGAGCCTCTGGCTCGCGGAGCGTCGTGGAAGTTTCCATTTGATTTTTATTCGAGTCTTCAGCAAGACCCATCTCTGCCTCCGGGACACGACAGATGAAGCAACTCTTTATAAGCCAGAAAATCTTGCCGCTTGTGAGAAACCCACGGCCAGTGATCACTTCTGGCAAGGCCTCGATCTGACCCCGCGACTTCGAATCAATCCCAGACTTTTCCAATGCCAAAATAATAAATAAATAAATAACGCCGAGGCACCGGGAAGCCTTCCACAGGGTCAGCCGATCACTCCTTTGTCTCCCGCCGGGAATTGACGGCTGCGCTGCCGTGGGGAAGCGAGATTGAGTGCTGCCAGGCAATTCTCATTATATATAGGAGGTGCTGATTTATCGGTGTGCACATCAAATGCTGTCTATACCTGCTGGCAGCATTGCTTGCCCCGCTGGTCCTAAATAATGCACCAGCAGCACTGGCCAGCAGCGTGTTGGTACATGCAAGCGGTTGTCTCTCCTTACAAAAAAAAGAAATTGGGGGGGGGGGGGGGAGGAATCCACACACACAGACAGATGGGACAAAATGTTTTGCACCTGGCTGTGTGAGCTTGAAACGGCGGAAAAAAAACACTCGCACTGTTTGTGCCTCGGGTGGTGTGACGCGCAAGAAATGGTGAAGCATAGTATGTGTTTTGATTTAAAGCTTTCGTGACTGCAGGGATTCATATTCTTGGTTCTTTCGGTAAAGTCACGTAGAAGGGAAACAATAAAATAATAAAAATATAAAACAATAAAATTCTCACGACGTTTCGACTGCAACACAAGCAATCATCATCAGGTGTGAAAACCACAGCAGTCGAAACGTCGTGAGAAATTTATTGTTTTATATTTTTATTATTTTATTGTTTCCCTTCTACGTGACTTTACCGAAAGAACCAAGAATATACATACATAGTATGTGTTGTTTAGAAAAAGCCACTGCAGTAAACAAGTGGCATGAAAACATTTCTCCGAGACTTATAGGCATCTCATGTAAAGTGTTTGAAATGCACACATTTGAATTACTGTCCGTAAAGAGAACATACATACAAAGCGCTCAAACAGTTTTAAGTAGAAAATAAAGTACAACATTATTCTGCTTCTCTAATGTAAGCATTGATCTCTGTTGACGGTCTACATCACCAAGTGTTGGGGAGCAGTCCTCTGGGTGGTTCTGTGCCAATTGTTGAATTTCCACATTCCTATGACAGAATTTTGTTTGTATTGGATAAAATCTGTTAATTTCCCACAAAGTACCATCATCTAGGCAGAACACAACAATTTACATGCCAGGACCTCCTTCGGACAGACACCAGTTTTTGCGGACTGTGGGTTGACCAAGAAATGTATTAATTGTGCATCACGTGGCATCTTTAGGGGACGTACAATGCACAACTCTTGACGTATTGTTCAGTTGGTTACGTGAATGGTTATGCCCATACTCATTTGCCAAGTAAGGGGGGGTCAAGCCTTGAGCTTGATCAAATTGCACATGGTAGCGATGATCACCACGATGAGTCTCTCGACGCTACTGCACGGGTCTTCGCGTTGTGATGTTCAGTTCTCGCCCACGTGCTCTGGGGTTGCACCACGTGTCGATCCGTACAATGTCCGACGTTTTGCTCCATGCGCTGGCAACCTTCAGTACTGGAAGAGGAAGGGAGCTGCTCAGTTCAGTTCCCGAAGAAGCGTCTGCGGTGATTATTGTTTACAGCAGCCGCAGATGTTTGGGGTTTTTTTCCCCACAGATATTCGGATGAAATATTTTCTTATCCGTAAATTAGCTGATTTGTGACAGGGTCCTGGCGACGGGGAATTTCACTGCGCTCCATTGTTATTATTGCATAATAATTCTCAGATTAAATAACGTAATTTATGAAATAAATTGCAAAATTATTTTTTATCATACTGTGACAAAGTGCTCGTACATTTTTCGTGTGGTTTTGGTTCAACGGACACCGCTTTGTAGGTGAGTCAGCAGCAGTTCTGTGGAAGAGAGACCTGGCCTCGCTCATAGCACTGTGGAATTTATACCACTGCCTGGGGGGGGGTCACCAAATACGTTATAGGCACTATCCCTGTACGTATGTCAGAACAGAGATACGTTGGCCCCTTGAATATTGCTCAACGCATTCGATGTTGCTGAAAACGTTTCTGGTGAGAGAAGCAAACGATTTGTTTCTTTAAAGTTTTCAGGCGGAGATAATTTTTGGACGAAAACGTGAACATCACGAAAAAAACCAACCACACAAATCGCCTGGGTCATTTTGCTTTTTGGTTACACGGCAGAGCGGGAGGCCCACAGCAGGGACCCCGAGAAGGGAGATTGACCGCTGCTATTGACACAGATTCACCGAGCAACTCGCTGTGAGGCGGAGAGTAAAAAAAAGAACACACCATGAGCCTTTTTCACATATTGGCCAAAGTCTGGATTGAACCACTTGCAAGGGTTTACTTTCAATTGGCACGGATCATTTACAGCCCATTGCAAATCCACTGCTGGATGAAGGGCACCTCATGCCCTGCCCAGTCATGCCAGTCCCGTAGCGTGAGTGGGGGCTGGAGGGGGCTGACACCTCCCATGCTGAAGCCCCCCCCCCCCCTCATAATCTCTTCGAGCCAAGCCAAAGAGACGTTGGCATGATATTGACCACCAGTGGCAATCGAGCGATGGGTGCTGTAGCCTCTCACCAAAGCACACGGCGAGGTGAGAGTCGGAGCAGATCGCACGATAGAGAGAAGCAAATCGAACCGTGAGTCATTCTGATTGGCGTTTAACGTTTGTTTAAAGATGTTTCACATTGACTGTCTTCCCAATACCCCCCCCCCCCAACCGCCCCCCCCCCCCCCACCATCACCCACTTGAGTTTTTGTCTGCCCTCCCCCCCTCTTTTGAACAAGGTCACGCTACAAGGTTGGATCTTGAGAGATGGTTGACCATGCTGGACCCCCACACCGCTAAATTTACGGAGCCCAAGACGGATGCAGGTATCACTGAACGCGAACGAGAGGCACGGCCGCGAATCCAACTCAGGTCCCTGGGGTTCTTTGGCGCAGTGCAAGATCACTGGCGCCACTGCTCCACTCCACCATACGTGAGACGCACGGTCAATTGTAAGTGGGGCAGCAGGCGTCCACTCCTGAGGTCGTGCGTTCAAATCAGGTCCGGTTTGACTTATTCCACATCCCCCAGGGGTCAGCAAATTGAGTTGCGTCCGGCAAACCACCACTCGGCAGGAAGTCAGCGACGGATTTTCTACTGCCTGGTCCCTGCCACAGGAATGTGGATTGCCTGCCGCAGGTAACGGAGTTAAGAGCATCGCGGCCCAGTGCTCAAAAGGACATGGGTGAATGGTATAGTTACACGATAATAATGCAATATCATTTGAAGATGTATAACACCAGTTTCACATGCTCAGCAACTGAATGAAAATGCATCCCCTCGTGATCTGGTCCGCTTTGTTGATAATTGTAAAAAAAATGTGAAGATGAAAACGTTAACTAATTATCCAACACCTGTATATATTTAAACGTCACAATGTGGACGTTCGCGATTGGTGCGTCACAACATTCGGTCACGTTTTTTTGTCATCGACTGGAACTTTTTGGTTGTACTCGGAAGTTCTGCTCCATTTATCCGCGGGTAAATAGTGGGATAGAATGTTGTTTTCAGCAAGCAATGCCCCATCTCACTGATGAAACTCTGCAAACGAGGGTTAATCTGAATATAACGGAGAGAACTGGAGATCTGTCAAACCCCATTGACAATAAGAGTCGCAGGGGAAGATACCACCAATGAGTATTCATTTTGTACTTTGATCAAGATGTTCTCTGTTCCACAAAAAAACCTCTTTCACCACTAGCACCACCGCCGCCACCACGCTCCTTCATTTCAGCCCTCGTCCCATCACGCATGAGCACATCAGTTCCCATGCGATGCCCTCAGCCTCACCTCTCACAACACCCTATCACCTTCCTCTCTGCTATCACAGCCCATCCAATCACCGTGCCCTTTCTCGCTTCCCCCCACTCATCATTTCTCTTGCTCTCTTCCTCCCTCCGTCCTTTCAACACCCCCCTCCCCCGCCCCCCGCCCCCCACACGCTTCTGCACTTCCCGTTATTTCCCCGCTCTCAACAGCCACCCCCCCCCCCTCCTCTTCCTTGTCTCTCCACTGCCACTGCAGTCATGCATCCTCCCATCAGCCCTCGCCTCACCCTGCACTGCACCCTGCTACTCACCCTTCTACTCACTCGCTTGCTCACGCTACGTTTCCATGAACGATCAAGGTAACAGGCCAGCTCGGAGCCCGAGATCATCGGCCCCGACCAGCTAATTCGCTCTTTCGTTGTCACCGCAGGTGCCAACGTTTAAGTTCGTTTATAAATGGTTGATAACCATCGACAATGTTTACGCGTGATAAGCATTGAGCGTTTATCAAATAACAATAACAAAAATAAGAATTCAATCATTGGCCTGATAACATCATTGATATAATTTAAATGGTCCACCTTAAAGGGTAAAGGTGCAGCTCTGCAACTGCTTACCAGAAGGGCCTCCACTGGAGGGAGCTCTGAACAGCCCCTCCACATGTGTTTGTCCTCCTCTTTCATGCTGGCCAGACGTCCCACACTCTCCAGGCCTCCACACGGGCGCTGCAAATCGACTCACTGCGGCGCACCCATTAATCCTGCGGGGTGCTACCAATGTGCGCTCCGTGCCGTGGAGTAAGCGGCGGATGAGGGGGCCGACAGCACCGCACCGCTGAGCCGTGGGGCATGGCGCGTGCACAGGTGACGTCCACATTCAGGCGATGGGGATTCGTGATGGACTGGACTCGCAAGAGTGCGCAACAACACCAACGACCGCTTTGGGCATTCACTCGCGGTGCGGTACTGAGTGGTGTGGCAGTGGTTAGTGCGCTGCTCTGTGAACCTGGCGACGTGAGTTCGATGTATGGCCATGGCGAACCTCCGTGGTGAGATCACAACCGGTCTGGTGTGGCCACCTTCTGCTTGGTGGAGCAGTGGGCAATCAATCCCCATGGCTGCTTTCATCCAGCAGTGGAGTGACAGAGGGCTAAAAAAATGTATGTTGCATTGGTGCACACGATTGGCCGTACTTATGATTTGAAACCCTGTGATGTTCTTTGTTTCTTGCCATGTCGTGATATCACAGACTAATTCTCACAGTATACCCGGGGGGCTAGAGCCAACCATTTCCTCTCGGGGGTTTTTGAAGTCATCGAGTGATAAAAAAAAAATGTCATGTCCGAAATTTCAACAGTGGCAAAAAAGGTCATATCCTAAAATTCAATAATGAGCGTGCAGCTTTGTTCTCGGCCTTCTTGTGATCGCTAAGTCCAATACAGTGACAACATTTGATTTTGACCTAATCTTCGGGGTAATAATACATGGTGGCCATTAACATATTTTTTCTTCATATAAGCAACATTCTACCCAGAGTCCTATTTGCCTCGAATTACTAAATCTTGCACCAGGGACTTTTGTGGCCACTGGGTAGAACAAACACACAAACCTGGAGTGGCCACAGTCGCAAAGTGGGATTCAAACACCCACAATAGAAATAGACAATAATGCGTGCACAATAATGCGTACGCGCACAGGAGCTCCGTACACACAGGCACTAAAAGACAAAGATCCCCACCTATGCGTATTGACTGCAGGGGCAAGTACTGCTGCTGTGCACGGCACATTAGAGATGGTACGATCGGCACTATGCTGAGCTGCCTCCGTCTACCCGAGTCAAGGTGTGTTGACACACCGCATCAGATGGACGTTTTAGGCAGAGTTGACCTTGGCAGGGAGGCTCAGGGCTCGGTTTGGTGCGTACGCCCAGGAATTGAACATCGGCTGCCGGGATCACATTGTAGCGAGGCCACCACCACACACATTGCTCGCCCACCATCTGGGGGACTCTTATATACGCGCGCAGGCACGCGCTCACAGAGAGAGACAGAGAACAAACAAAAAAACCCCACACACGCTTCAAACGAACGGTGGCAGATGTAGCTTTGTTACCTTCAGACTCGGCCAGCGCACAAAAGAAACACAGTGCCGCCTGCTCGGGAGAGAGAAAGGGGCGCTCGACCTCCGCCGAGGGAGTCTACGAGCCGCAATTACGGCCGAAGCGTCGGGTCGTGCCGCCCGAACTCTCTTGTGGACGCGAGCAACGTTGGCGGGACCCATCGTCTCGTCACACCCCGGCCTGCAGCCAGCCGCCACCCCCACCCCACCCAGTCGAACCGAGAGCATTTGCAGGTGCTTGCTGCAAGCCAGCGAGCCGCGGAGATGAGAATGCGGGCGCACGGGACAATTAGAGCACAATTAGAGGACAATTTGAAGGATTGTCGTGGGCGACTCAGCACCGCCCTGCCACCGTCTCTGTGCCACCGCCCCCCGCCCAGAGCGTCACCGCCGTATGGGGTTAAATTCGTGATTTGTCTCCATGCTTATTTTCGTTTTCGTGCGGCATTGGAGTCAAATCTGTGTCGGCACGTTTACGTGACGTTTTACGTTCGCGTTGTTTCGTGGTGGAACACGAACGTTGCGCTGCAGGCGTGGGTAGTGGCAGAACAAAGCATGTCTCTGTTTTCCCACAATCCCCTACAGACACACACATATTCCGTCATGGAATGGCTTTCAAAGACACAGGAGGCCTCCCGTCCTGTACATTTTACAAACCTGATATATTACAAACATCGAGACTGCACACTGTTATTCATGGAGCAAACGAGTGCTTCGCTCAGATGAGATACTCTAAAGACACAGATTGCCAGGCTTGACCGTGTGAAGCAGGGGAAACAGTATTTGTACGTGCACTCATTGACGACAGTGGCTCATTCCGTGACGCTCTCTGCGCAAGAGAACCTTGGTTTTCAACCTTCCGTGGGAGCCGGAGATTTCCATCCAAGATCTCAGTAGAATTTGCTCAGCACTCGGTCACAGCCACCCACGTAGTCTTGTGAGGAGGCACCCAGCCCACTTCGTCGGTCACTGCCATTCTCGAGGATTGTGTCCGCGTGCAGTTTGCTGTTATTCTTCATGTTGCTATTATCACGATTGATTACGCAGGAAAGCCTCAGAGTCTCAAGACTCCTTTTCCAGGATAGTCTTGCCAGGTTTTCGCAGTGAGAGGGGGGGGGGGGGGGGGTGATGTTGTTGCTCCTGCTGCGTGTGATCCCAATTGATTAATTTGCAAGTAACATTTCCAGCATTTGGGATGTTTCCCAGTACCAGAGAGGGTACAAACACCACACAGTGAGGCGCCCAAGTCGGGAAACGAACCCAATCTGTGATTATAACACTTAGTAGTAGTAGGCTTTCGCGACCAATATTATCCATAATAAGGTTTTTGAGTTAGATCGTGTAAATATACAGCCAATTATGAAGGTTTGTCGTGTAAACAAAACACGTCAATTAGTGACTAGTGCAGCACACCGGTGTGTTGGAGAGTGAACCCACTACAACATTTACAATTCGAGTTCCGAGACGTTTCGGCGGTAATTACGACCATCATCATCAGGCGACAGCCAGATTCTGAGATAACACCCATGAAGTGGGTGGGGTTTATCAAATATCCCACCCATTTTGAGCCTCTGTAAAAAAAAAACCAGTGCCACTTAACGAGGTTTGTACCAATCCTTGCTTCGGCCCACGGACTAGGGCGCTCAAGGCCGAGAGGTTGCAAACTCAAGGTAACAACCGCCCCGCTTGCATTTGGCTGTGTGTTTTGTTGTTGTTAAACGCAGCATGCCGCAACAGCGGTCACGAAGAGTGAACCGGGGGCTCATTCATGACGATCCAGGAGCGACTTGTCCGCGAGTCACAGCATTCACAGCCACGTCTGCCACCTCATTGCAGGTTTAGAAAACGTCCGCAAGTTGAAGGCAAACAACACCCGACCATTAGGGCCTGTGGGGACTGCACGGGCAAGGATTGTTCATGAGCACTTTCTTAAACCGGCGTGACACACAGGGAGGTGGTGCGGTCAGCATTGTCTTGGCAGATATTAAGCTTCAAGATATTAAGGATGAGTCAGCATCGAGGTACAGAACAAGTTTAGATGCCTTTTACCGCCGGTATTGTCCGTGTCCAGGAATCAAACCCAGAAAATCAGGATTTTAGCAAATAGCTCTATCCCATTACACCAATGCTGTGTTTAAACATGCACACACAGTACCATGTTCAGCGTCATGGTAAGTCTGTGACTAGAAACAGTCGAAAAAAGAACACGATGTTTGGGAAAATGTTCGCAAAATTTCAGGAAGTGCTCATTAATTCAAATACCGGCTCTTAAGTACAGTATCACTCACCGGTTATACGTTTGAAGGATGTGCAAATTTGAGAGAGCTTCACTTATCGGGCACTCGTTTTTCATGTTGCACACATCAATGCCTAGCCCTTAGTCGAATACCTCTTGTCCTCAGGAAATTGCAGATAGCAGGATGAATATGTTGCTGACTTTTGTTATCTGGTGAAAAATGGGTTTCAGGACGCCTCGATGTTGCGTGTCCTCTTTACGTTATCTAATTGGCAACCACACGATTCATAACTTGCGTGACACATTAACAATCCCGAAATGTGGGCGTCACTTTCACTGCTTATTAAGGGAATTGTATTGCCAAATTGCGTGGCTGCACTTCAAGTATTTCGCGTGATGTAAAGAGCTCACAATGGGACGCGTGGTTTGGTGATCCACTCGGTAGCTTCCCTAGATGCCAGGTGGAGAGGGAGCGAGAGAGGTGAAGCCCCTCGCACACCACCAGGTCCCAGTGGGGTGGCTCCTGTTGCGATATCTTCCACGGTCTGGGACTCATGGCCACAGTCGCACTTGGAGTCACAATCCCTCGCCTCCCTCACCTTCTGCTCGTGCAGCAGGCGGCCACTGCGCCATCGCCCCTCCCCTGTGTCCCGTCGTGTGGGGTCGGTGATGAGGTGTTGGGTCAGTGATGAGGCCGTTGGGTCAGCGATGAGGTGTTGGGTCAGCGATGAGGTGTTGGGTCAGCGATGAGGCATTGGTTCTCTGTGTTGGATGCGTCTCACGATTCCATCCGTCTGGATAATGGGTCGGTGCCAGCTGCATTAATTATTCCATGCCAAACCGGCCTTCACCAACCCGGCCTTCACAAACCGGCCTTCACTAACCTTCACCAACCCGGCCTTCACTAACCTGACCTTCACCAACCCGGCCTTCACCAACCCGGCCTTCACCAACCCGGCGTTCACTAACCCGACCTTCACTAACCCGGCCTCCACCAACCCGACCATAACCAACCCGGCCTTCACTAACCTGACCTTCACCAACCCGGCCTTCACCAACCCGGCGTTCACTAACCTGACCTTCACTAATCTGACCTTCACTAACCCGACCTTCACCAACCCGGCCTTCACTAACCTGACCTTCACCAACCCGACCTTCACTAACCCGACCTTCACCAACCCGACCATAACCAACCCGGCCTTCACTAACCTGACCTTCACCAACCCGGCCTTCACCAACCCGGCCTTCACCAACCCGACCTTCACCAACCCGGCCTTTACCAACCCGAACTGACCATCGTGGTGCAGTATGATCAAGTAAACAACACGACCCGCAAGGCATGGAGAGATCCTCATCTAGCAGTGGATCGACAAAGCGTTGCACATGTACACATATGCACACTGTGTATATATATACACACACGCACGGAATGTACAGTAATATGTGTATACCATGCATCGTATGCTATTCACACCAAGTTGCGGATAACAGGATGCATTTAGAAATCGGCTCTTTTTTCCATTAAAATGCACACAAGCTGAAAGGACGTCGTAGTGTGCTTTCTTTGTATCCTACAATCGTCGCATTTGTGGATAGCGGCGGATCGCAGCTAGAGACAATCTCCAGACAGTCGGATGAATCTTGTAGCGTCAGACACGGTAACTGCATTTCTAGGATCCAGCACTCTCCTGAGATTGTCGGGAACATCCCTGCCTCGAACGTTCTCGAGGGCATATTTCACCTCATTTCTTCGCAAACTATAAACACTGTTTTTAAATCTCTGCGATGTGCTATGTATCTGTCACGTCGGTAATGTTTGCCTGCAAACCCCTCTCCCAACCCCCATGGCTTCTGTAGCATCTCCACGAGAGTATTATTATACGACATCATCTTTGCTGTAAAAAAATAAAAATAAACACCACGAAACTATCGCCTGCAGAGCATCCCTATATATATTTGTGTGTGTGTGACATAAATCGCTTGGGGCCAGGGGATCTGTCTGCTGGCCCCAAAAGGGAAAAGCCAGCTCATCCACGTTCCTTCTTTCTGTCCCACAATTGCCTACGGTTAGATCCGTGCTTCTATTTGTTATAAGCCACTGACAAGGCTTTAGCAGCAACAACAAAAATACACGCGCGCTCGGGCTCACACACACACGCACGTACGCGTGATCGTGAGCGTGCGTGTGTGTGTGTGCGCGTGCGTGTGTGTGAGCGTGCGTGTGTGTGAGCGTGCGTGCGCGAGGTTGTGATGGCCACTGCGTTGCAAGGGTTGCGTCCGGCGTGCCCCCGTTCTCTGTGATGCACCGGCAGCGTCGCCGCATACGCAGCGGCCCAGGAGCATGGGCTGAGAGTGCGGGGTACACAAACCCGGTAATCAATCACATTCACCTCGGGCTACAACGCAAGCGTTCGGCCGGCAATACACTCCACAAGCATGCGCTAAACACTATACATACATCATTACCGCGATCGCCATCATCGTGGCATTGTGGCTCTTGGATATCAGTTCCTTGCTCGGCGCGAAAGGTTCATCTTTCCTGAAAGGTGCAATGTCGTAACATGTAATGACGGACAAGCGGTTATAGCACGCTTGCCACCAAGACATTTTCGCAAATATTTGATTCTCATGCAGGTATAATTTTTTTTATAATAGTAATTACAAAAGCTGGTGGCCGGGTGAATCAGGGGTCAGAGCATTGACCCAGCACTGCTGAAATCCTGGGGTTCGAATTTTGGCAGCCACCCATGATTAAACCGGGTTATGAAGTCTCTGCATGGTTGGTTTCCAATGACCACACACAAAAATTCACATCACCCTTTTTTTACATTTCAGCTCAGAGAATTAAAACAAAATCAGTTTTAACTGCCATGTTACAAACATCTTTATAGCAGGGGTCGATCTCACTGCTCTGGGAGAGTTGAGAATGGACAATTCTGCACCTCACGACAGCGTCTAAAGCACAATTGGAATAAATGTGTTATATAATTGAGATAATGCACAGCCCTTTGTCAATCCACTGCTCTGTCGGTCACGGGTGTTGTTTGACCATACTTCACCACCCTGGTCGGTGTAGCTTGGTGGAAGGGGTGAGCCTAGAACAGATTCAGATTTCACTCACCACTGGTGTGTTAGCTATGGCCAGGAATCCAACGCAAGTCACCAAGTTCAGAACGCAGTTGCGCTGAGAAAATCGCCTTAACGTTAGAAAAAAATCAAATGCTCTGTGTGTTTTGTGCCACCAGGCAGACACAGGCTCCGATTGCGCCAGAATGACTCCAGTGTAGTCGACTCGAACCGCGGTAAGTGCTCGTGGCCATTCATCGGCACGGCCACGCGTCACCAGGCCGTGGCTGCTGACGCGTGGCCGTGGCCGCGTCACGAGGAGACAACATTCACACCACGGGCTCAGGGCCCCAATGGCCCATTAGAGCAGGCAGACGTTGCAACGTATATGGCAAGGTATTGCCCGTCAAAATCATGTTGATATTTAAAAAAAAAAGCCTTCACGTCTCGTACCGTATGTTTTTTTTTAATACTGTCCTCTCTTAACATTTTAATTGGAGTATCCACAAGCCATTTAAACGACAGTATTTGTCCACTTATTTTTTATTACGCCGTGTAGGTCGCCTATTGTTTTAAGTCACTGGCAATGGTTGGTCATTGTGTGCAGAGAGAGCTCCATTTAGGAGGAGATACAGCGGGTTGATCTTATCCTGCGTGCGCTCCAGCCTGTGGACTCATTCACGTGTTGAGCAATAACTTTGACATATCGTTAAGTGGCACAGACTTCCAGAGCGACTGACAATTAATACGGCAGTGCAAATTAATAGCTCGATTAGAGGGTAACGTGGCGACCATGCTCGCCATTCGAGAGATTGA